GGTGGTTATGCAGTGAATGAATTTCTAGTTGGTTGGGGGAAGATTGGAGAACACAGTAAACACTTCATATTTTTATGTGATGGGAGGATTCAAATACTCATATGTATCTCTTAGTGATCCGTGACTGGTTATTTTAGTTATTAGTTCACTTCTGACCTATTTGTAGATTTTGCCTGGCATCAGTGTGATGGTGATTATGAGAGGAACTTTGTAATGTGGTTGGATAAGTGGAAGTGTGTCACACTGCTGTTGACAACAGCTCAGTGGAAATTTACTGAATGTATCTTTTTTCTTTGTGGATAACACCAAATTGAAATTAACATATTTCCAAAATAGCCCAAGTCAAGTTTACCTCTCAAAGGGAGGGTTCTAGAGTTGGAATTATTGAACCCCTTGAAATAGCATGCAAAATTTTGTGTGTATGGTGCATTTTTCTGGCAAGCGTGTCCCATTGTTTTTGTGAGCTTTTTCAAAGGGGGGGGTGTGTGTGACCTAAATAAAAAGATTTCAGAACTACTGCTTCAATGGGTGATACTCAGATCTATAATACTAGACTTATTTTACTCTGAGAAAAAAAAGACTTTCACTTAACTGAATTTTTGAAATACTGCATCTTGTGTTTGATGTCTTATAGATAAGAATCACTAGAAATGAAAAGAATATATTATTTATTGTATCCCCAGAAATATAGGATATTGTGATTTTTGTACTTTTAAGACCTTCTTTGTCATTTTAATTTAATTTTTTTTAAGTCAAAATTATAGTTTTTCAATGTACTAAATGTGTAGGAAGTGAGAATTAGTCCTGGCTAGCCTGGATTGAGACATTTCTATGCTTTATGGGTTTTTTCCCCTATTCTTTTGACAGAGGCCAAAATCCACCACTCCTCTTTTCCTTGTCTTAGGCTGTCCTCCCTCCCTACACACGCCACCACCACCACCACCACCAGCACCACCGTCACCGCCACCGCCACCACCGTTACCATCATCATCAGTGCTGTGTGTCCTCCTTTTTTATCCCTCTCTCATCTCTGACTCCTCTCTACTTTTGCTATAACTCTGGAACTGCTTTTTTCATAAAAATCAAACCCCTCTGTAATTCTCAATCTGTTTTCTGAGTGGTTTTTCCACTCATTGCCTTACTTCACTTATATTCTCTCAAACCTCAAGGTCTGGAATGTCAGCTTTGTTCTCTTCCTTTTCCATCCCATTAGTCCTCCATCCTTTTTTTTTTCCCCTGAAGTTTTGCTTCTTTGAAATTCCCGTCTTTTGCCAAAATCATCTGTTCATTGAGTCCTCTCACTGCTGTCATCTACTGAGCAACCTCATGTCCTCTTCTTTACTCACTGAATACTGGCAGCTGGCTTACAGTTTTCTTCTCACCCTCCGCTCTCGATGATCATAGCTTCCTTGTGCATCGATGTAGGAACACACCCAACAAATGCTACACCTGGACTTTGAGTTCCTTGACCACTTGATTTCCAGTGACCTTCACCTCCTCAACAATTCACTCTAATTCCCCTCCTCCAGAATTGCGAATTCACAGTCCTGTTCTGACCACGACCACTTTTCTTGACCTGTGGACCTCTTCTCTTTATCCCAGTGCATTAGTACTCTTCCTTTGTCATTTTATTTGTTCAGTCCCACTTCGGATTCGTGATTAACGATTAACCCCTAAGAGTTTACATTTTGAAGACATGAGATGATCTCTGTTGCTTTTGCAAGTTATCTTCGATCTCTTCCTTGGACAATAACCTCAATTTACTCTCTATTACTTGCACTTAATACCAGCCACTTCCTAATGTTTAGAGATCTGCATTCTAGAAAGCCAATCTGGCCCTGCTATGGGCACTCTCGCATGCTCTCCTGTTAGGTGCTTACATGCTCTTTTGCCTTCATAACAACCATGCAGAGTAGGTAGAATTATACCTACTTTACTTTAGGAAAACTGAGGTCCATATTGGGAAAAAAAAATCTCAATAACTTTTCCTCCCATTTTGCCAATACCTTTAACTGCCTTATTTCTCTGCTTTCTCCTTGCACCTTTTGGGTAACCCTGAATAAAGCACTTAATGTCTTCTCTGTGCCTGTTCCTAAATTGCTAGATGAGACTGGGTCACAAAGAAAGCCAGATTGATTCCCTTATAAATTTATTATCATAGATCTTTTTAAAAGATGTTTTTATTTTAGTTGACCCAAATGTTACATTAGTTTCAGGTGTTATCATAGATCTTAAGTGGGCCTTCAGTACTGTCCAACAATTACCCTTTGTGCAACGATTATTGAAAACTATTTGCTTCACCAGTCTTTTTACTTTCCTTGTTCACCCTCAGTCTCACCAGGTAACTGGCTCCTTGTTACGTTGAAAATAGAAGCTAACCATTAGGAATATTCATCTTCCACCTCCTCAACACACAAACCTACTTCCTATTACAGTCAAAAGAGCCCTTTGCCTATCTTAGTTTAGTCTCGGCCTGTGCTTCACATCCTATCCCTTTCTGCCTTCATAAATTCTAAAATATCTAATGTGATCTTTTCTCTTCCTAATTTTTTCAACCAGTCCCTCTCAGTTCTACCCTATCAGCTGACTCTTTTTCCTACCATTCTACCATAGCCCTCCCAAACTTTTTAAGTGAATCATTTGCTCATATCTGTAATCTCTCATCTAAAGCCCTTGGGACCATATTTAACTCAGAAATCAGAAGTTTTGAGATTTAGGAAAGCATTACCATGTACGTACTACCTATGGTATGATAACCTCAGTGGGATGAGGGGCAGCACCCTGTGATCATCACATGATGATTTCTGACCTTGAAATGTATGGTTTTTCACTCTAAGTGGGATAAATAAGGGCTACAAATAGCCTTCATGTCAGTCCAGGTCAGATTTTGCTTCCAAATTAAAATAAAACAAAAACCGTAATTTTCCAGAGCTTTCGGGTTTTGGAATTTCAAATAAGAGATTGTGGCCAGGTACTGCCTCTGTTTTCTCATCTTCATTTTTTTTTTTTAACCCATTCTTGCTTTTCCTTCTCTCACTTTGCTCAGATGGCTCTTACTGACTCTACCAATGACCTTTATTTGAAGCGATCATGTTACTAGTGAATGTTTCTCCAGACTCGGGTGGTGCCAGCTCCATCAAACACACTTCCCCTGGTTTCCTTGGCACCCCCACACGCCCTCCCCAGTCACCCTTTTGCAGGCTCAGTGTCCTCTATCTTGTGATTAAAGGCTGGATTTCTTTCAAGGCCCTGTCCTAGGACTACTTCTCTTCTTACTCTATATTCACTCGCTCTGTGATCTCACTGAGGTCTGTGCCTTCAACTACTAATTATGTGCTGATGAATCACAGATAGATGCTCCAGCTCACACCTCTCCTTGAGCTTGACTCTTCTTCCCTCTCTCTTTCTTCCTGTCACTTGCTTATATCGTTTTGGTGGCTTCCGATTTTGTTAGAACAAGTGTTAGGATCTGTGTGGCATGGCCTGACCACTGCCTCAGCTTCAGCCTCAGTTAGTGAGCTACGTTCCCTTTCCCTTCTGCTTTTACTTCCTCTGAGGTCCCTTGCTGCCTCCCACAATACAGTCGCTGTGCAAACTACTCTCTCTGTTCACAGTACTCTTCCTTTCTTTGTAGGTCATTCCTACTCATTTTTGCATCATTGCTAACTCTTAACTTTCCTGAGGAAGCTCTCTAATTTGTGTGCCCTATCACCAAACCTTATGACACCATATACACATTCTGACACTAATAACGGTTTTATTTTTGGTCAGTTAGTGCACTTTCTCCATTAGATGTAAGCTCTCTAAGCACAGAGATTATGTCTGCTTTTGTTCACCATTATATTTCCAGCATAGTGCTTGGCATAAAGAAGGCAAATAGTAAACATTTTGTATGCATTATATACATTAATTTATCTTTTCTAATTTAAAAAGTAATTTATGTATATTTCCATATATATATATAGAAGGTAAATAGTAAACATTTTGTGTGCATTATATGCATTAATTTATCTTTTCCAATTTAAAAAGTAATTTATGTATATATATTTACCAGTGTAATGTGCAGTTTCCAGTTTTAAGTGGACCCAATCCTGATGGTAATATTACTGAAAATTATAAAGATACATTCTAAAGAATTCCATGAATCACAGGTATATGTTTTTAAAGGATCAAATGCATAAAAGTCTTTGATCTAGCTCATAATTGATCTTGTTCTTTTTTCTTTTAAGATTTTATTTATTTGACAGAGAGAGACACACAGCAAGAGAGGGAACATAAGCAGGGGGAGTGAAGGGGGGGAAGCAGGCTTCTCGCTGAGCAGGGAGCCCGCTGCGGGGCTCGATCCCAGGACCCTGGGATCATGACCTGAGCCGAAGGCAGATGCTTAACGACTGAGCCACCCAGGGGCCCCTCATAATTGATCTTGTTCTTAATTCACTCTTTCTGTATTGACCTCTTCCCCCGTATTCTTGTTAGATATCAAATATCTTACTAAGCCTAGTATTGTGCACAAGTAAAATATATAGTGTCCAGCACAATTCAGCAGCCTCTTAACTTGCTCATCAGTTTATAGGTATCACAGGATTAAAAATAGCTTAGCCATCTGCTAACTGACCAAACAATTTTAGTAGTGTGAAAGGGCGTGGTAGGAGACAGGGACCTAGGGCCTAGGTATTCTGTCAGAGCAAGGCTCAGTGCAGAAACCACCTTGTGACTGACCTCTTAATACTGAAACTTAAGAGTCAGTTCAAAATTAGGAAGAGATTTGGTGGAGGTTAAGCATAGCAGAGTCCCAATAGTAGGGGATTTCCCAGAATATAGGGTGACAAAAGAATTTCAGCATTTTAATTTTCACTAAATTTTTTTAGAGAAAAGAATATAAAGATATAAATTCTATAAAACTTATTTATGTTATGTATTTATGTAATATATAATGTGTAACAAATTTTTTAGAGATCAGCCTTAATTAATTAGGCTTTTACATTTTACTCTCTAATTAGGAAAATCAGTAGACTTCCAGTCATCTCGAAGTGAATCTGAAATTGTGCCAAAAGTTGCTAAAATGACTGTGTCTGGAAAGAAGCAAACTATGGGATTCGAAGTGCCTGGGTAAGTTCTTAAGCCCTCCCCCATCTTTTTTTTTTTTTTTTTTGGAAATTGGTATTGTCTTCCACTCGACTATAAGAAAGAAAATCTATTTTAATAAATTTTGCAGGATGTGTCAGTAAGGTTGAAGTATCATGGGTCCTCAGTGTGACATGGTACAAAGAAAAGGGGATGGGAAATTAGGCTTGATACTAAATATGCATGTTACTTAATCTAATACACTGTCAGTTTCCTCATGTTAATTAAATAATTTTTAGCAAAAACCCTCTATTTTGTGAAATCTAGCACTCTGAGCTAGGGAATCCTACCACTAGATGGCGTAGGTAAGCAGTGTGTGGGAATTAAATGTGGTTGGTGAATCATGTAATTATTAAAAAATTTTTTTCTAACTGTGATCTTTACTTTTTTTTAAAGCTTTTATTTATTTATTTGACAGAGAGAGACAGTGAGAGACGGAACACAAGTAGGGGGAGTGAGAGGGGGGGAAGCAGGCTTCCCGCTGAGCAGGGGAGCCTGCTGCGGGGCTGGATTCCAGGAGTTTGGGATCATGATCTGAGCTGAAAGCAGACGCTTAACAACTGAGCCACCCAGGCGCCCAGTAACTGTGATCTTTAAACTCTTTTAGATTTTCGGGTTGAATTAAATGGATCACTAGAACAAAGGCACAAAATACAAAATGAAACATACCTAGAATTTCAAATCTGGTGAGAAATTATAGATGTTACATTAGTAGCACTCATTTGTTCTTAACATAATCTCGAGGATCCTCCCAAGAGTTTTTGTAGGCAAGGGAAGTTGGTTGCTTGAGGCTTAACAGCACAGTTAACTTAAATCCATTACTTATAAATTACATATATTTTGTCTGTCATTTAGATAGATAAGAATCACTGTTATCAAATATAAACAAAAAATAGAGGATTTTTTTAAATTTCAAGAAATAAAAACTAAGCAGCCTTATTTTTTTCTCCCTTACAACATTGTTCTATCTAAATTATGGAAGCTTCATGAGTCTTGGTTGTGAAGAATCTTCATGATCACTTAGTTCAATTTTTTTTATTTTGTAAAAGCAATACTTTATTTAGATTCCAATTCAGTGAAGGAAGGAACTCCATATCCAGGACAGAGTAAGTGTTCAGTGTATGTTGAATGATTGGATGAATGAAATTTTAATGAGTGACATTTAATGAATTAAAATGAATGACATTTTAATTTGGGTAACTGTATCCCATTACAATAATTTTGAGTCCTCATTTAATTACCAAAAGCTTAATATATGTCTTTTCTCTCTGAGCTGGGGTTAGGTTAGTCAGAATCATAAATTTATTATTCTTATGTCTTGGGAACCCTTTAATCCTATAATGGGATTATTTCCATTGAGAGGGAAAAAAATAAATAGAATGCACAATACCTTATTCTAAGAATTTTATAATCTTACTGCAAAAGGTTTTGGAAATTTTAGGGCACATAAGCCCAAATTAATGTATCATATTAGATGTAAGTGCATAGTTATCTGTGGGAATAATGATAAAAAATAATGGATAATAAGTGATCAAGAAAAAAACAATAAGTACAAGTAAATAATTCTTGACAACCTAACTCTGTTGTACTTCACAAGTGTACTGCAAGCCTTTCAGAACCTTACAAGACTATATGCTTCATGAGGACAGGGACCATTAATGTTCATCATCATATTTCTTCTCATAGAATAGTTTGTTTATTGATCAGAGTCCTTGGGGAAATACATTTTATTTTTAAAATAAACTTGGAGGGGCGCCTGGGTGGCTCAGTTGGTTAAGCGTCTGCCTTCGGCTCAGGTCATGATCTCAGGGTCCTGGGATGAGTCATGGGGCTCCCTGCTCAGTGGGGAGCCTGCTTCTTGCTCCTTTTTTTTTTTTTAAAGATTTTATTTATTTATTTGAGAGAGAGAATGAATGAGAGAGAGCACAAGAGGGGGGAGGGTCAGAGGGAGAAGCAGACTCCCTGCTGAGCAGGGAGCCTGATGCGGGACTCGATCCTGGGATTCCAGGATCATGACCTGAGCTGAAGGCAGTCGCTTAACCAACTGAGCCACCCAGGTGCCCTCTCCCGCTCCTTCTGTTGTTTACTCTGCTTGTGCTCTCTAGCTCTCTCTGTCAAATACATAAATAAAATCTTAAACAAACCAACTTGGGAAAATGTAAAGGTGATAAAACAGCCTGTGAATCAATATTTTGTTACAGCTCTAGGAGAGAAGTCATCAGAACATGAGAGGTCTGTAGTAGGTACAGATCAGGATACTCAGAAATGCATAATATTGCTGAAGGACCAAGCTATATTTGTGTCAAATACTTATATAGGATTTTTTAGGAAGTTTATACTAAGGATAATACTTAGGCTGTTGTTCTGATTTGATTAATGAAACACTTCTGAGTCAAGATTTCAGCATCATGAATACCTACATAGTGTGATTCCCAATGGCAGCTCATGAAAAAGGGGTGATGCATTGCTTAGAAGAAACTAAAACAGCAAACTTTTTCTTCACTAATATTAAAAATGGTAAATACCTCTCTAGAAAAAGTATAAATGGTTAGAACCTTGCATAGAAAACTCTTAAATTTAAATTAGCTTCCCAGTCTCATTTAAATAAATGAAGAAGAAAAGTTAAGCCTGTAGATTCATGTAGAAATATTCCTACTTTTGGAAAGATGGTTTAGGAAAAACACCAGAGTAGTCATTTTGTAGTAATAGATAAGTTTACAAAATTGTATCAGAAAGCACTTGAAAAAAATTCAACCACCTTACTCTTTTTTTTCATATCAGTTAGTAGTTAACAGTCTTTTTAGGTCTCATCTTAGAGATTTTTCAAAACCTTAAAATACTGAATTTTACCTCATAATATGTAGAAGTTTTTAGTAAGCACAAACTTACCTAGGATGCTTTTCTAATTACTTTGGTCACTTCCTTCTAACACTGTATAATTTAGTGAACTAATTTGTATTTTACCTAGAATTTATTTGAATGTTTTCATGAAACCAAGAGAAAAGCAAACCTTTCATTTTAATGAGTTGTAAATGAAACGATCAAGTCAGACCCATGCTTTGTGAAGCCCTTCAACTGCTGGGCCAGCTGAGCTTCTGGGCCCTACCTGCTGTCAGCCACAGCCATTCTGCTTGGATCTCTTCTCTGTACTGGATTTAACATAAGCTTTCCTTTGAAGAAAAGCTTCTGTAACTAAAAACAGAGATTTGAAATCAGAAATTGTGATTTCTCCCAGGTCTGAGCAGAACCATAGCCCATGTCTAGTTATTTTGGTTGAACACTTTTGTTACAATTTGTAGGGGTTTTTTCAGCTTGTCTAAATGCAGAGTTGTCATGTTTTGGTTTTAGAACTAGCTGTGGTCATTCAAATGTTTGCAAATTATAGTCTAAGATTTCACTTAATTTAACCTGTTGGAATCCTTATTTAAAAGAACTGGACTGTTTTCCGCATACTTCATTTTTTTTCCCTGTGGATCTAGATGAAGCCAATTTGCCTACGTGGTGTTAACAAAGAACACCAAAATTGTTAGTAGAGATTTACAAAAGCAAGAGAAAAGGGGAGTGGGTATGAGGTTTTTAATGCAGTTGCAAATATAACTAATGGGACTCTTTCCTGAGGACTAGGATGAAGGGTCAGTGTTCAGCACATAAAAGTGCCCTGAGAGGGAAAAATGATTCTGTTTTTTGTACAGTGGACAAGAAGAAAATAATGTACTATTCTCACAGAAACTGCTTTTTGTATGTAATTCTTTGCCAGTTCCAAATTGAATTGAATAGGATTGGTTTCATTCTTAATAACTTGCAATTTGACCTGTTCTTTGTCCTGTTTCTATTTATCTATGTCACTGAAAGGAATGTAAAGTCTATTGTAGGCTGGTTGATTAGATCACATTGCTGCTAGCTGTCCATGGGATAGATAGCACTCATACAGTTTCTGTAGATATCAGTCAAAGAGCTAATGAACTAAGGTCAGTGTTTACTTTTGGGGGCATCATCATTATCAAAGAGCAAGTAAGTTATGCTAGATGGCCTGGTTTCTACTTTATATATTTGAGTCCCTCACTAGATTGTAAGCTTTTGGGATTAGTAGATAAATTTCTCATCTCCATCTTTTCTTCTCAGCATCAATGCCTAGTAGAAGTTGTAGTTTTTAGAAAATCAAGTATTAGTTGAATTAATGAATTAAAAATTTCTTTGCTGAAAGTATTAAGAAAATGTAGACAGAGTTATCTCCCTTAAGGATAGTGTTTGAGCAAAAAAGATTGTTAAGTCTCTGTCCTGTTGGAAGAATGAGTTAGGGATGAAACTATTTTTTTAAAATACTACTTTATCTTTAGGAACACATTTAGAGCCAGGTTTTACAAAATATCTCCATTATGCCATCTGTTTTGATAGGACTGTATGGCTAAGGCTATGGCCCTGAATTCTGTTATTTTATAGGATATTTTCTTCTTATCTTAGTGTTTGCTGGACTGTTTTTCTCCTGGGATCCTCCACGTCTGTCTGTATTTGTGTGGTTTGAGTCTAGCTAACTTGTCATTTCCACCTTAATAGACTAGCCACTTAGCAGAGATCATTTTTTGTCTGCAAGTGTAAGGAATAAGAAGAGACAACTCCTCTGCCCTTCTGACCTTATAGGATGTCGGTTGAGTTGGTTTAAACACTTTTTTTTCCTATCTCTGTTTTCTGTAGAGTAACTGAAGAAAATGGTCACAGTTTCCACACACCTCAAAAAGGACATCTTAGTGAAGGAACCGGCATTGCTGCTTCTGATGTTCTTGACACTGTTTCTAAATCAGTTCTTCCATCCCACACCATTCAAACATCAGAAGAGCAGAGTTCAGCACCAACGCCGGTGAAAAAGTCTGGCAAGCTGAGGCAGCAAATAGATGTCAAAGCGGAACTGGAGAAGCGGCAGGGCGGGAAGCAGCTCCTCAACTTGGTGGTCATTGGTAATGTCCTTTGCTCCTCTGGGTGCCTGGTCGCCTCTGCCTTAGCCTGGCCGCTTCCTGGTGGCAGCACGGACGTTCATTCCCGCTCTGAGTTTCTGTCTGGGTGTAAATGGACACAAGCAAGGAGGCATCACATCATAATGTTTTCTGGTCACCCTGGGGGAAATAATGCTAAGTTACCAACGAGGTCATTAGACTTGCTTGTGGCATTTTCATTTGGTGAATGTTTCCAAAATGCCATGTCTTATTGACAGTTTGAATGTCCAAAAGTCAAGGAATTGTCCCCCCCTCTAAAGAGACACTGTTTTTTCTCCATTTACTTTATCATTTGATAAACATTGGTATTTATTACTCTAAACACTGACATGAACTATTGGATTACATATTCATGCAATGCCTCAATGTGAACAGCGTCTGAAAATGTACTGAGTATTAATCCTGAATCAATTTTCCTTAGGTCATGTTGATGCTGGGAAAAGTACTCTGATGGGCCATATGCTTTATCTTCTGGGTAATGTAAACAAAAGAACTATGCATAAGTATGAACAAGAGTCTAAAAAGGCTGGCAAAGCTTCGTTTGCATATGCATGGGTCTTGGATGAGACTGGCGAAGAAAGGGAAAGGTAGTCACTATATTTCAAAATTTTCAGTTTGAAATGATATATAATCTTTTAAATAAGTATGTAGTATGTGTTGAATATGTATGAAACATGCCATGAAATATTTTAGAAACTTCTTTTAGAGAAAAGCTTTTAATTATCAGGGAAATATTTTTATTATAGTTTCCATTATGTCTATATACATTTTCTACTCTTCCAAATTCTATGAGAATAGTTGAAAAGAATGTTTATAAACAAACAAACAAACAAACAAAAACCGCACACAGAAAAAGGCAGTAAAAAACCTTAGTTACTTATTCTGTGGGAGAAGTTTGTTGTCCCTTCCCTAAGTATATGTCAAATTGACTTGATTTTTTTTTTTTTTTAAGATTTTATTCATTTATTTGACAGAGAGAGACACAGAGAGAGAGGGAACACAAGCAGGGGGAGTGGGGGAGGGAGAAGCAGGCCTCCTGCTGAGCAGGAAGCCTGATGTGGCACTGGATCCCAGGACCCTGGGACCATGACCTGAGCCGAAGGCAGACACTTAACGACTGAGTCACCCAGGCGCCCAAATTGACTTGATTTTGAATTAAAATTATGAATAAGGCTAAATTTTATATAAGGTAACTTTAAGGACAGGTAACTTTTTGTAGTAAACTGTCTTGTCTGGAACTAAAATGACCAGTAAATTTAAATTATCAGACTTAATTCATCTTCATACTTTCTGTAGTGTTTTTATATGAGATAGAGTCAACAAACTAGTAATTAAACTTACTTCCTACCGTAGGGATTTAACCTAGTCTATTGCTGTGCCCAGTGCTAACTCTGCGGGAGAGAACAGCTACTCATATACCTCTGGCCAAAGTATTTCTACTCTTTTCTTCTTTTTTTAAAGATTTTATTTATTTGACAGACACAGCGAGAGAGGGAACACAAGCAGGGGGAGTGGGGGAGGGAGAAGCAGGCTTCCTGCGGAGCAGGGAGCCCGATGCGGGGCTCGATCCCAGGACCCTGGGATCATGACCTGAGCCGAAGGCAGATGCTCAACGACTGAGCCACCCAGGCACCCCCAAAGTATTTCTTTTGAGGTCTTTTTAGAGTGGTGGTATGTATCATGTCAGAACTGTCCAGGCAGGGGGAGCCAATGGCACCTTTGTCAGGAAAGGAAGGGGACAGCTACTAAGTGAAATGGCAGGTATACCAACTGTGTCAAAATAATGACTAAAGACTCTGAAGTCCTCTGAAAGTCCTAAATCAACCAAGAAATTATCCCATGTTCCCTATCTTCCTTCTGAGTATGATTAGAGAATATATTTGGATTTTCATACTTTAAAAAAAGTGTGTATTTATTTTCTTGCAGAGTCTTGAATAGTCTACATTATAATATATAAGGTAGTTCTCAATAAAGGGTCACAATATTCCTTAGCTCTTCTGATAAACAGAATTTTATATCATGGTGGGTTTTTTTTTTTCTTGTAGGTGGTCTTTTTTATTCTATATCACATCATAAGCTTGTTTTCCAACCTCGTAAGGAAAATTAGTTGGTTGCAAATTTTCGGAAAATGAATATTGGAAAACAGTGGAATTTTTGTATGATGTCAGTGTTAGAAGACTAAATAATTTCCATCTACCAGCTTACCAAGCAGATTTTTAAAATATATGGCTCTTTAGTTATATTTGTGTCATCTGCTAAGTAGGTAAAGAGATTGAGAACAGTAAAATTTAAGTTAGAATAACTTGTTTGAATTTACTTAATATGTGCATGGAGCTGGCAAGTGAGCTAATTATCTAATTCCTAGAATAGTCAGTAATTTTAGTGGGGTTTTTATTTTTATTTTTTATTTTTGATAATACATCTACTGGTTGGCTGTTAACATTTTTGCTGCTTGTAGTTTTCTGTTGCTCAGCATGATGCAGTTTTAGAATATTCTTTGGTTCTGTAGATAGCAGATGCTTCTAGATACATAATGAGAGTTTTAACTCACCACTGTATGTGCCTTAATAGCATTTCAAAAATACAGTGTGTTACTTATCCCACCACGTTAAATATTTATAAATCATCTATTCTCGGATGTTGAACAGAAATTAGTAAAATGAGTGACATTTATATATCCTTAGGGTTACAAATGCAGACCAGAGCTGGCTCAAGGGTGTATTCTGGTCAAAGCAGTCTTAGGGAGGAGCTCAGAATAAGTCTTGGTTCATCAGTATTCTAGGCAATTATTTGAAGATTATTAGAGAGAATTAAGCATCATTTTCACCAAATCAAATGGCCCATTGTTTAAGCTAGAATGACTTGATCAACCAGACCCACAGTTACTGCTCGCTCTGCTAGGGGAGACACATAAATTATTATCATTGTCAGAACACTTGATAGTAAAAGGGAGTGCTCATTCCTTATTCTGGACTGTTTGGGGCAAATCAGGATGAATGATTACCCAGCTTATTGCCCACCCGATTTCCCTTTCCTGATGTCTGGAAAGACTCAGTACCTTTGTAGACTCTCCCTGGGCTTTCTTACAAGCTGAACCTACATTTTTGTGGCTAAGAAGAGGCACTGTATTGGTCTCTAAGAAGGACGAAACAGGATGGGAAACAAACTACTGTTTATCTCTTGCAGTTTTTAAAAAATTTGCTCTCTCCTTTGATAGTTTCTTTTTTTTCTAAATGTATAACATACTGACCTACCTTGCAAATGAAAGTTTTATGTTTATTTTTATAATTAGTGAAGCATCTACATATGAAGATGAGGAAAACTTCCTCCCGATAGTGGTCATGCTCCACGTTACCTTCTCATGTGCAGTATTTACTGTTTCCTCCTCCAGGTGTCCCCATATATCTTTGTTTGCTCACAGTCTACCTAGCCTTTTACCAAAGGAAAAAAAAAAGAGAAATGGGAAATATCCAGCATTTTGATTAAGCTCTTGCTGTATCCACAGCCTTATTTTAAAGCCATACACGTGAAATTTTGTTACAGCAGAGATTCTAGCCCCAATTGATAGCTTAATTCGTCAAAATAGTAGACAGTGTAATAAAATTCCCATTATTTCTTAAGAATTTAGACTGTCATTTAGCCTATATTATTAAGTAATTTAGTCCATAGCACTGATGATTTCTATAGTGCGTTCTAACCATTTTATGTTTTCTTTAAGGGGAGTAACAATGGACGTTGGTATGACAAAGTTTGAGACCACAACCAAAGTTATTACATTAATGGATGCTCCGGGCCATAAGGATTTCATTCCAAATATGATTACAGGAGCAGCCCAGGTACCAGATATTTCCTGAATTATACTACACTGATTGTACATACAATTTCCTGATGCTGAGCTTATATTTCTAGGATTATAACTTTTAAAATATTTTGAAATTAAAAATTTTAACTTTTGAAAATTTTTGAAAAAATAAAGATTGTATTTTTATGATCTTTTTGGTACCATATAAAAGTTTTTCTAATAATTATATAGAAGCAAATGTATAAAAGCTACGAATTTCTTATAGTAAAAATAATGGTAAAGTACTGGATGAGATATAGCTTTATATTATATTAATTAATAAGTTGGAGTGAATATTTCAATATCTGCCTTTTTGCTGTATTTATATTAAAGGCCTGTATCTTTTAAAAGCACTGATTTATGCAGAAACAGTGAAGCTTGGGAGTTTTGCCCCTGTGGTTTATTTACTTTCTTTGTAGGATTAAAAAATAGTTGCAACTTGTAGAATTACATGATTCTTAAGGATATGGAAAAAAATAAAAGATAATAACTTTAAATAATTAAAACAATAAAAATAGCATTGCACATAGAGGACATGGATTTTTTTTTAATAAAAGATGATTATTGGAAAATGTGAAGAGTTCAAAAGTTTGCCTGTGTCATTTGGCAATAAGTGTGACTTAAGCAATTGGCCATTTTCTGAGTTCTTAACATCTATTTAAAGGGAATGTTAATATGAGCATTCGTCAACCTAAAAAGGATGTTATATAAATAAATTAGAATATATTTGAAGATAAATGAGAAAATATTCTGTTTTAGGAAGTTGATACATAATTTCAGAATATTAATTTAAGGTCCATGGACTGAACAAGATATTGAAGACTGAAAAATAATTATCACTCTTGACTGAGTACCAGATATGGACTAGACACTGTATGAGGTGTTTTGTATACATTTAGTTTAATCCTTATAATGAAGGTGCATATTATCCCTGTTTTATTTTACTTTTTTTTAAGATTTTATTTTTAAGTAATCTTTCTACCCACGGTGGGGCTCGAACCCACAACCCCGAGACCAAGAGTTGCATGTTCTACCAACTGAGCCATCCGGGTGCCCCATCCCTTTTTTAAATTAGTGTACTTCTCATTGCATTTACCAAAGGATACAATATATTTTTCCCTTTATTTCATTGTGTGTGTGTGTGTGTTTGTGTGTGTGTCTGTGTTTTCATTCGATGAATACTTGCTGAATGTCTGCTGTGTACCACGCACTGTGGTAGGCAGTATAGGGATATGAACTAAGAAGCACATTTTGGTAGTTTAATGGGAGAGGCAAACATCAAGCAGTTATAGTAAAATGTCTTTGAATCCTAGAATCTTAGAATCCAGAATAATCATAAAGATCATTTTTTCCAAACTCCTAATGGAATTAGCATAGGAAAGGATTTCAGAAATTATCTAATTGAATTCTCTTATATGACAAATGAAGAAATGGGCTCAACATATTAGGGAACTTAACCTGCAAAATACTGGGGTAGGCTTTTAGGGATGCAAAGAAAAATGTGGGGTATGCTGCTTCTCCTCAAGGAAATCATGTAGGAAGGTAAAACATGTAAAGACGAAAGGCTAACACAAATGTACTACAAGAAGGGTATACACAGTATATGTGACGAGGAAAGATCTCTTTGTAGTGCTGAAAAGGCTTCCTTAAAAATATGTAGGCATTTGAGCTCCCAAAGACAAGCTGCTGCATGAAAAAATAGAGAAATTGCCCTGGAATTTTTTGGAGATGGTAATAGGAAAGAGAATTAGGAAGAATACTTATTGCCTTCGAAATCTTAATGTCAATTCAATGAATTTCAAAGAAAAATTTTTTTTTTTTTAGATTTTTGTTTATTTGACAGAGAGAGAGAGAGCACAAACGGGGAGCAGCAGAGGGAGAGGGAGAAGCAGGCTCTCCGCCGAGCAGGGAGCCCGATGCGGGACTCGACCCCAGGACCCTGGGATCATGACCTGAGCCGAAAGCAGATGCTTAACCAACTGAGCCACCCAGGCATCCCAATGAATTTCAAATTTTAACCTAAGAAAGTAAATATAATTTGACAGTTATCAGCAAAACCTGATTAGAAGGAGATTTACAGTTATTGAGTCTAGGATTTGGAAGGTCAGGGCTGGGTGCTTTATATAAACTACACTTTTCATTGTTTCTGTGAAGTGAGCAAATTTTTTTCTTTTTTTAAGTTTTCATTTAAATTCCAGTTAATTAGGATATAGTGTAATACTATTTTCAGGTGTACAATATTGTCATTCCACATTTCCATAAAACACCCTGTGCTTCTCACAGAGGAAAAGGACCCAAGGCTAAGGTTAGCTTTTTTCCTCCCTTTTTTTGTGTGTAAATGGAGTGTGAGAGGAAAAATGTCTTTCACCTGATTCTTAAAATGCTCCAGAAAGATTAGGAACCCTTGTTAAGTCAAGATTCTTTTTCTCTGCCGTAAAGAGTGAACGTGCTCTTTTTGGATAACTCATTTATTCACAGTTTTTCTTCGTTATAAATAGTACTCTGGTAAACATCTTTGTTGATTTATAATTCTCTAGGATAAATTCCAGGAAGTGGAAGTGATGGAAAGCAAAATACAAGTCTAATTTTAAGGCTCTTGTTACTTACTGTGAAAATGCCCTCCAGAAAGCTTCCTCCCTTAAACAGGCGGTGCGGAAGAATGCCGGTCTCACTACACCCTTGCCTGTAGTAAATCATTCTGTCTTTTAAGTCTGGCTTATGTGATTTCTAAAAGTGGGAGAAGGAAAGAATATATTCATGTGCTTTTAATGCCCTTTTTTTTTTTGGTTTCTAGTGAATTTGAATTTTTTAATGGTTCTCGGCCATTTGTATTTCTTTAGCAAATTGCTTGTACCCTTTATTTTTCTACAGAGCTGTGTCTTTTTTCCCTGTTTTAGTAAAATTCATATTAAGTGTATAACTTTTACAAATATCTGTCCCTGTTTATTTATGTTTTAACCGTGTTTATGTGTTTCCTCCTTTGCCTAGATACTTTGTTATGTAATCAAATATGGGAATTTTTTTATTCTTTATGTCATTATTTTTGGCCATGTGCTAGTATTTTTTTTATATTTAAATTTAACCCATCTGTGTAGGTCTTTTGTTTGATTTGCTTTGGGGTTTTGTGTTCAGGTTAGAGTCTGCCTTTAAAATCTGACCACAATTAATCGACTAATCTTCTCTTTGAATTAAAATGCTGTGATGTTATTCCTAGTTTTGATTATTTCTTCTTTCTTAGGCGGATGTAGCCATTTTAGTTGTAGACGCCAGCAGGGGAGAGTTTGAAGCTGGATTTGAGACTGGGGGACAAACACGGGAACATGGCCTCTTGGTTCGTTCTCTTGGAGTCACACAGCTTGCGGTTGCGGTCAATAAGATGGATCAGGTATTTGAAGGCGAATGAGCGTTCATTTCATTTCAGATGTTAAGATGTTATCCTGCTGTATCGATGACCTCATAGGTGACTAGTGTACATCCTATTAGTCTGGTGGCCATATTTAAAAGAATTAATTCATGATCCTCATATTAAATAAATGAGATACAAGCAAAAAAGATGTCTTCTCTCACTTTTAACATTAATTTTAAAAATCTTACCCAAAAACTAATGATGTACTATATGTTGGCTAATTGGATTTAAATTAAAAAAAGAAAAAATCTTAAAATTGTTTTTAGTTATAAAATAATACACAATTTGATTTAGTATAAAGAAACCTGAAATAACCTATATTTCCAACTCCCCTTTTCCCCCCAAAATCTTTTAACTTTTCCTTTTGTGTATCCGTCCTGTTTATTTTTATAGGTGAAAATATTTTTCTTCATAACGATGTGTTATAATTTGTTTTGTTTTCTCCTTTTTAAAAAAATGATAATGTTCTTGTGCATGTTTCCAAGTAATTAGCTTTTGTATGAACAGGTTGTTTTTACAGCTTTTTTCTAGTCTGTTTTAAAGATATATGTAACTTATGCACATAATCCCCTATTTGTGAACATTTCCAGGGATGTGTGTGTGTGTATTTAGAAATAGCTTATTCTTTGGAAATTTCTGGGCCTAAGGGCATTTGCATTTTTAAGACTTGCTATAGATATGATCAAAATGCCTTCAAGAAAAGTTCTAGTTATTTACTCTGAGCACATGGAGTATATGCACTTTCCCAAACACTTATCAATACTGCTGTTATTAAATGATTATTTTCCACTTTGATATGCAAAACATGTTTCTTTTTTTGTTAACTTACTCTCCAACAAATCTTAATAATATTTAAATATACTTTGTATATTTATTAATCATTTATATTTTTAATTTTGGAATTATTTATATAATTTGCTCATTTTCAAAACTTCTTACCAATTTTTAAGTATAATTTACTTAGTAAAGATATTAATCCTTTATCTTGTCTTATGTATTTTTCCCAATTTGTTTACTTTTCATTTTACTTTTCATTTTGTGTGTTTTTGACATATATTCAAATTTATAAATATTTCCTTTTGATTGTTTTTTTATGCTTAGGTGTTTGCTTACCCTGAGATCAGATACTTACTCACCTATATTTTTCTACATAGTTCTTTTACAGTATCATTATTACACCTATCTTTTATTTTTCCCTAGTATTTTAGTATGAAAAAATTCAAATATAGAGAATAGAAAAAAGAATAGTAGAAAGAATTTTACAATAAATACCATATTATACCCACTACTTAAGATTCTCCTGCGTACTTCATTGCATCTTTGTCTGTCTACCCTGTGTCCATCCATTAATTCATCTTATTTTGACAAGAATTTCCAAGTAAGTTACACGCTGTTACACTTACCCCTGAATACTACAGCATGCAGAGTTCATATCACATACACATTTTTAGTCTATTTGGCTTGGGGGGTGTGTATCAATAATTTTATTTTATTTACAGTAGTTGGTCCGAGTGCAGTTTAATAAATTATTCACTCTGTCTCCTTACATTTGAAATCACTTATAGCATATACAAAAAGTTCTATGTATATATATATATTGGAGTTTGTTTCTAGGCTTTCTGTTGTAGGAAAAGTTATTTTTAGATCATGTTAATAGTAAGGGTTCATTTTCTGAGTTTAAATTTTAATAGATTTCATATTGAATAGATTTTATATTTATATTTTATAGTCTTGATTTTTTTATATTTTATTGCAGAAATTTAAATTTTATATATAGCATGGTCTGAAGCATAGTTTTAAAAATTGAATCTTTATCAGGTTAATTGGCAACAAGAAAGGTTTCAAGAGATTACTGGAAAGCTTGGGCACTTTCTTAAGCAAGCAGGTTTTAAGGTAAGATAATTTTAAATTTATTTAGTTATCTTTAGTCTCATCTTACTGATAAGGGAGAAAAACCTAACACTTTGGTGTTCTTGTCTTAAGTATGTTTAATTTTGTTTGTTTTTATTTCTGCCTGGTAGCATGTATATCTTAGGTTCTTTGGGTTATTTCACCATAAGAAAATTGCATATTTTATAAATTGGCTTGGATTTAACAAAAATAAAAGACTTTTCTGCAGCTATTAAATTAGGTGGGTAAGCTTAGGGAGGTTATAGAGGAATGGAAACTATACTTCCACTACAGTGGAAACTAGTGGAGAGGAATTTCTGTAGCAAAATGTAAATGAAATATGCCTATGTTACCAGGTAAAAATGCTTTGAGTGTTTTGGGAACAAATTTGTAAGTTTCCCGCAAAATCAAAACAGTTGAAAACTGTTGGTTTTATGATTTCTACTGCTTTTAAAAAAGTACATTGTTGCATTTGCAAACTTGGTGCAGCATGGTAATAGTGAGACTTTTAACTTGTTGAAAGCAGCGTTGTATTAATTTTCATATATTCAATCCTTTTTAATAGGAAAGTGATGTAGCTTTTATCCCTACAAGTGGTCTCAGTGGTGAAAATCTAATCACAAGATCTCAATCAAGTGAACTCACAAAATGGTATAAAGGACTATGTTTATTAGAACAAATTGGTAAGTATACTGCCATACTAATTTTGATGCATTGTAAGCTTGACGGGAGACAGTGATGTGTGTGAAAAAGCATAGGATTTATAATCAGAAGAGCTACTGTAGTAGTTTTGAAATCACCTACAGTATTTAAAATAATACTCAATTTTCTTTATTTAATTAATGAGGCTCATGCCTGTCCTACCTAACCCACAGACTATTGTTAATCTTAAATGAGATGACGTGTATGAAAACATTTTATAAACTACCAAGTGTTATAGGAATGAGAGTAAATTTGCTATTAGTAATTACAAAAGAAAATTATTTTCTAGGAGAGTTGGGACTATAATGGGCCGATTGGACCTGAGTCAAAAATTACTTTTAAATTAAACCTTGTGGTTTTTTTTGCCATTTTTTCCAGATTCCTTCAAGCCTCCTCAGAGATCTATTGATAAGCCTTTTAGATTATGTGTGTCTGATGTTTTCAAAGGTAAGTGCTCCTTCTATGGTGCTGCTTCATTCTGGCCCCTGCTTTTCATTTTCTCCTGACCTCTTTTCTTAGACAAAATTATTACACTGTCTTCATGTGCCAGTGTAAGGATCGTTGCCAAAGTAATCTTGAAGTGCATAGTTCTAGTTCTTTAGCTCCCCTGCCCAGGAAACGCTTCAGTTTGCTTCAGTTTATGTCATTTCCCCAGCTCATACTCCTCCTCCAGGTGTGGAGCCCCTGATCCTTTCTCTTCCTAGCTTCCTGTGCTTTTTCCTCTCATCGGATCTCTTTAGTTTCTCTATCCTTCAGCCAGACTGGATTGTTAACTATTTCTTAACCACATGGAGTCTTTGTTGCCACTCTGGCTACACAGTATTCTGTTCTTCTTTTTCTTCACTTGTCCATCTCCTACCCATCTGTAGCAGTCTGGGTCCAATCGAGAGATAGATACCATACATTGGTAAAAAGAGAAGTTTAATATAAAGAAATATGAATATGATAAAAGAGTGACTGTAAGATGAAAGGAAACTGTCTGGTACCGGAGGGCAAACTGTATGCAAAGAAAGAAAAACTTAGGAGGCCGTGCTGGAGAAGGTGTTGTATTAAATCCCTAAAGGTACATCCAATTTAATGTGTACAAGACCCTCTTTAGAAAACTATAAAATAGAAATGGAATGAAGAGCTTAATAAATAAAAGGGTAGAACATATATGTTGGAATAATCAGTACAGTATAGATGTCAGTGGTCTCCCAAATCAGCATTATCACTGAGCAAGCAGTGCAGAGTGGGTTCAGAACTGAGCAGCAATAAATTGGCACCTGATGGGCTCACCCATGCACGTATCCTATGGTGCCCCTCTGTGTTCTCTGTATCGTCTGTCATTGCATTGTTTGTGTGGCATTATAATTGTTTCTGTACCTTTTATTTAACTTAAGATTGTGAAGTCCTTAAGGGCGAGTACTGTCTCTTCTATGTCTTTATCTGCAGGACCTAGCTCAGTGCCTGGCATGTAGTACATGCTTAATAAATGCTTAATAAATGGATGAATGAAGATGCTTCCCAAAAAATCATTCAGTGAAATTGAAATGAATCATCACTATTATTAGCTTCCCAATTCTAGTAGTAGAAGAAATATGGTAATGCTTTTTAAAATGCCTGTTACCTATTTAAAATACAAAATACAAAAATAATGCTTTGATTAACAATATTTGCTGACTCTCCTTTTTCACCTCCTGTTCTCTCTCTCCTCGGCTGCTTCCTGGCTTCTGCTTACACTCCTCCCCGTCAGCATTGACTTTGGCAACCAAAGGGTCATTTGGTAACCTCAGATTTGGTAACCTCAAATGACCCTTTGGTTGCCAAAGTCAATACACATTTTTCAGTTCTGTCTTACTTCCACCTTACTTGAATTTGGCATTGCTTCTGAGACTGGTAGCCATATCCGCCTTGAAACTTTTCTCCCTTGGTTTCTGTGACCCACCTTCTACTACTATCCTATTTCTCTGACTTCTCTGTGTCTTCTTTGCGGGCTTCTCTTTTTCTGTCTCCTAACTGGTGTTCTGTTGCTTCAGTCTTTTTCTCAGTCTACATGCTGTTTTCAGACAGACATCCATGGCTCATCTACCTCCTGTGTCTTGATGCTTCCCAAATCTGTATCTCCAGCTCAGGCCTGTTCTCACTCTCTGGATACATGTGCTAACTACTGCTGGACATCTCCACAGGGAGTGTGCTCCCGGGGTCCCATTCTCATGGAATTTGATGTGATTGGTGTCCCCTGGAATGCATCTTCTCCCACCTGTATGTCTTGTAGACACTTCACATTCACCAAGCCTAAATGACTCTTGTTCCTTAATTTCCTATCTCACATTTAATGCACCATCATCTTAGACTTCTCCCTTTTTGCCATTATATGTCATCTACCTTATCACCCAAATATCTACTTTTTTCCCAAATTCTTGAGTTTACTTCCTGTCTGCAGTGTGTGCATTTCAGTTCACCTCCCCTCCTCTCTGACACAGAAATACCATCATGTCACTTCTCTGTTCAGTATTCTTTACTGGCTTCCTATTCTTTAACTGAGGATGAAATTCCCACTCTGACCATGATTTATGAGGCCCCTTTATCATTTGTCCCTTCCTATCCCTGTTGCCTCATGTCTTGCCTTTTCCTCCTTACTCCATGTGGTCCCATAAACATGTCATATAAATGACACGTTGGTCTTAGCACATCTCACATGCAGTTATGACTCTGTGCCTTTGCACAAACAGTATCCTGGGTAAGCAGTGTTTTCCTTCTTCCCACTACACATATACACAAGTACCTGGTAAACCCCTGTTCTTTCTCCTTCTGAGTGCCCAGCTAAAGTGTAGTCATTTCCCCTCATCATGGATTCTTTGGTGTACCTTTTTCTATTTTCATTGTACACTCTAAATAATATTTGTCTCTGGACAGTATAATTGTTTTTGTCTTTTTCTTCACTGGAGTGAACCCCTTTATGGGTAGGGGCTTATGTTTCATCTTTTTATCCCTAGAGGTTAACACATGACTTGGTACTTAGTAAGCACTCAGTAAATATTTGAAAAAGGAATAAATTTCAGTTTTTATAACATGAATATTTTTATTTATAAGAAAGTCTAGAGTGGAATGCAGTACGCTATGTTTAGTAGATATGTTAAAAATTGTGAAATGATCACTGCTTAATGTGCATTGCACTACTAGTTTTATGTAACTCCTAGGGAACTAATTGTAGTTGACAGCAGTGATCCTCAGATAACATTGCTATATGAATTGTATGATTTGGGCATGTTTTGCAGATCAAGGATCTGGATTTTGTGTAACTGGTAAAATTGAAGCTGGTTATATCCAGACCGGTGACCGACTACTAGCAATGCCTCCTAATGAAACTTGTACTGCAAAAGGTATTCCTCTGCAAGATTCTTTTGCTAAAAACCTTTAAGTTGAGACAGCAGATTTTTAAAAGTAGTTTAGTTATTAACTCCTGAGTAAATAACCTCTTAGTGAAATTGTAACTGACTGTCAAAGTGATACTAACTGTTGAAGATAAAAATGTGAAAACATTAAACGATTTTTTCTGTTGTGACTGTGTGTATATAAATGTACATAGAACATTCTAACTGTGGTAGCATTTCTTCTTTTTATTTTTTCTGACACTGATTCTAAAAGCTTGGTTAGGATTTAACCAGATGTATAGACACCTGACAGATACATTTAAAATAGTATGCAGTAGCAGAAATTAAATCTGGCCCCATCCTGGCACTAAACAGTCAATAACAAAGCAGACTGCTTGCTCTACTGTGTTGTTTTGAAATGTGTATTTCAGAATTACTATAAGTTAACAGCTTTGATCGTGTTTATACCAAAAAAGTTTTTTGTACAAAGACCTAAGAAAATAAGATGCAAATGCAGAGAATCCTAATGTTGAAAAGAGAAATTGAGCTAATGTGCCACAATTACTGCTTTCCCACCTGTAATATATGGCCTTTCATAATGACCAATGACTATTTCTCTCTTCGAATCCTTTGACCTTGCAAGTGTATGTGTTACTCTTTCCTAATTCTGCTTAAAAGTTTATAATTCTGTACTTATCTTAATCTAGCTTCCAACTAAGCCTCCAACTTCAACATAAAATTGATGATCTATTTTATACTACAGAGTAATAATTTGTAACAGTTTTAAGCTAAAGTATACTGAGAATGTTAAAAAGTTTTAGATGTCAGTACTTTTCCTCTGTAACTCTTCTTGTTTTTTATTTTTTTATTTTATTTTATTTTTTTTTAAAGATTTTATTTATTTATTTGAGAGAGAGAATGAGAGACAGAAAGCACGAGAGGGAGGAGGGTCAGAGGGAGAAGCAGACTCCCTGCCGAGCAGGAAGCCCGACGCGGGACTCGATCCCGGGACTCCAGGATCATGACCTGAGCCGAAGGCAGTCGCTTAACCAACTGAGCTACCCAGGCGCCCCTCTTTTTGTTTTTTAAATACTATTTTGAGAGAGAGAGAGAGAGAATGAGTGGGAGTGGCAGAGGGAAAGGGAAAGAGAATCCCAAGCTGACTCCCTGCTGAGCATGGAGCCCAGTGCAGGTCTCGATCTCACGATCTCATGACCCTGAGATCACAATCTGAGCTGAAACCAGGAGTCAGGTGCTTACCCGACTGAGCCACCCAGGTGCCCCTCCTCTGTTATTTTTATTTATAGTTTATATCCAGATTTGTACCTGACTGGTTTATAAATTTGAATGTACATTTTGTTTGAATTAATTTGCTTACTTTAAAAGCTGATTTCTTAAAGATTATAAGAAATTAATGAATATCTGTTTAGGTAACAGAGTTTAAACTAAATTTAAAGATGAATAAGGGAATGAAAGCCAAAGTTACTTCCATTTTAACTTTTTTTCTTTCTTGCCAGCCTAGGGATTATGAAAATTCTGTTTAGATAAAAAGCAATGCCCGTGTTTGTTTGTTTGTTTTTAAGATTTATTTATTTTAGAGAGAGCACGAGAGCGTGAGCAGGAGGAGGGGCAGAGGGAGAGAAAATCTCAAGCAGACTCCTCACTGAGCACATAGCCCCACAGGAGGCTTGATCTCACAACCGTGAGATCATGACCTGAGTCGAAACCAAGAGTCGGACGCTCAGCTGACTGAGGCACCCGGGCGCCCCAGTAATGTGCTTTTTATAAAAGAATCATTTTCCATTGACCGATTGTTTGCAAGTTCCGATCTCTGCTTTTGTTTTTTAAAGTGATCAAGAGCTACAACACTTTTGAAATACTAATTTATTTGTATGTTAATGAGCTTTCTTGAGAATAGGAATTTTTAAAATAATCAGTAGACATGAATTAAAACCATGATCCTAAAATTATCATGGACCTTACAGATTGGCTGTTTTGTAACTTACAAAATCATAATTTACCTCTGGAAGTACTACATTCTTTTCCTCTCTCTGTCCTGTCCTTTCCCCACCAGAAAAACTCTAACCATTTTTTTTTTTTAAATAATCTTTTTTTATTTTTTTTAATTTTTTTAAGGATTTTATTTATTTATTTGAGAGAGAGAGAGAATGAGAGACAGAAAGCACGAGAGGGAGGAGGGTCAGAGGGAGAAGCAGACTCCCTGCCGAGCAGGGAGCCCGATGCGGGACTCGATCCCGGGACTCCAGGATCATGACCTGAGCCGAAGGCAGTCGCTTAACCAACTGAGCCACCCAGGTGCCCCAAAACTCTAACCATTTATCTTTAATCTTAAGGGGAAGCTGTATCAGAAGCACCTGAGATCATACCCAACTCCTTGACAGCCACTCTTGTAACCCATCTTGGAGGTTCTCAGTCCTCAATTTCTAACTCTTGCTTTTGCTTGATTTACTTGATTTTTCAGTGCACCTTTCTATCGCAACAATTCTGTCACTAACCAGTAGTATCCTAAAAGAGAGAAGTAACTAAATCTCCTACCAACAAATGGAAATTGTAAATTAAGTTTTCATTTTATTAACATATCAGGTTCATGGATTGTTATAAAAGAACTTTGTGTGATGTCTGTCCAATGAAGAAGGTCCTTAAGAAGATGAATATCATATATAGGACAGTGTAACATGTTTGGAGGGAGAAAATCAGATGATAGATTGCCTCTAAAAAATTTTATATTGCAATTGAACTTCTAGTATGAAAGCTCTTGAGAATCTTAAGCTAAAGGCAATCTCTGTTGTATGTAAGTAGCTAGCCCCTGTCTTCAGACAGTGTTCCACATTTCAGAGCAAAAATCAGATATGGTCACTTTAAGTTTACATTTTAAAACTAAATTTAATTAGTTGAAAATTTAACAAACATTTCTTAATATCATAATTGTTACATTTTTTGGAGTCAAGAACCTCTCTGATGCTTTGGTGAAGGTTATGGCCCCTTTTAGATTAATGCAGATGTGTACATACATAAAATTTTAAAAAGAACTGTAGGTTGTCTCAGAGCTCTTAAAGTTGTCCTTGAACTCATAAAAAGTCTAAAAGAAACTTGCTTAAGAATTTCCTAGGAGGGGCGCCTGTGTGGCTCAGTTGTTAGGCATCTGCCTTCGGCTCAGGTCATGGTCTCAGGGTCTTGGGATCGAGCCCCACATCAGGCTCCCTGCTCAGCGGGAAGCCTGCTTCTCCCTCTCCCACTCCCCCTGCTTGTGTTTCCTCTCTCACTGTCTCTCTCTGTCAAATAAATAAATAAAATCTTCAAAAAAAAAAAAGTTTCTTAAGAGTATGCTACATGGGAAAAGTATTTTGAGAAAGATATGGATGAGTTATAATTTACTAAAAACATTTCAATCCAGAACTATTTCACAGTGGTTGGCCTGTGTACTGTCTTCGTCAAAGTTCTAGTGGAAAGGAACTTACCCCGTTAATTGCCCCTTAGAATCAGAAAATATGAGATACCTTTTAAAAGCTTTTGAATAAGGGAGCTGAGTAATGCCCTTTGTAATTGTTCTCCAGGATTATCCCTAGGTAATAAAGGTATATAGCAACACCTGGGACCATTTTTTAAATTAAATTTCCTACACTTTTCATGTAATTAATTATCATTGTTCATCTCTCTGGGAAGCATTTCTTTTGAGCCAGGAGTAGTGAAGGGGCCGGTGAAGAACACCATCTGACTGAGCACTGATGCCCTAAGGGTTACTCACAGAACTCAGGTGACTGTTTAGGTGGTTGTTTAAAAGCAAAGTTCAAGAGAATAAAATACTACTGGACACCTTCCTTAGTCCCGTGTTTTGTGTTATCAAGTCATTTGAACTGCATTGTTATGCGTGCAGCTGTTAATATAAGTGAACTATTTGAATGGGGTGTGTTTAATGAATATACTGGTTGTATAAATGAGTTTTAAAATTTTGATTAATTAAGCTGAAATGGGCCTTTTTTGGACAAATAGGAGTCACTTTATGTTTAGGGTGGTGTTCTAGAAGAGTCAAGTCTAGAGGAAGTGTGTTTTCCTCAACGCTCACAGTTACACTTCTCATTCTCAATCCATTCATATTGAAAATGATGAGTAGTGACTGATGAGGCATAAATCAGCCAAACTCTCTTGGTTGTTATGGTTTGATATTGAGGTGTTTCACTGTATGCTTTGGTTCTTACTCATTTCCAGGAATCACTCTGCACGATGAACCCGTCGACTGGGCAGCAGCAGGTGATCATGTTAGTCTTACGTTGGTTGGGATGGATATCATCAAGATCAAGTGAGTGAGAAAATGAGTTTAAGCGACACTGTTTTGGATATAGGACCTCAAAACGTAGATTTTGCTATTCACTCGCTAAACTGAAAGAATGAGTATAATTTCGAATTTTATTTGGCCAAAAATAGGCTCTTGTAGAAGCAAAACCTATTTAAAACTGAAATTAATACATATCAGCACGTGTACTTGACATGTCCTTTGAATGAAAGCTATAATGTATAAAAATGGTGTAAGGTTAATAGTGGTATAAAGCTATGCTTTAACTCAAAAGGGAGTATTTAGAAAAACTCCCCAATTTACTTGATTGTTTCTTTGTAAACGGTTTTGGAGGTACTGCTATTGAATATATGTTTATCTTTCCTCCAACTACCTTCTCTCTCTCTCTCTCTTTTGTTTTGTTTTGTTGCAGTGTTGGCTGCATATTTTGTGGCCCCAAAGAACCCATTAAAGCTTGCACTCGTTTCAGAGCACGAATCCTCATCTTTAATATTGAAATTCCTATCACTAAAGGATTTCCTGTAAGTTTTGAAATGTTTGTTATTGTCACTTCAAAGTAAACTTCAAAGTAACTTCATCCTAAAAAGTAGTAACTTACTTTACAAGTGAGAATGCTGTAGTTATTTTCAACTAACATCTTAATATTCTGATCTCCTGATTTGAGGAATTCTTAATCTCAGGAAACAAACTGAGGGTTGTTGGAGTGGTGGGGGGTGGGAGGAATGGGGTGGCTGGGTGATAGACATTGGGGAGGGTATGTGCTAAGGTGAGTGCTGTGAATTGTATAAGACTGTTGAATCATAGACCTGTACCTCTGAAACAAATAATACATTATATGTTAAAAAAAAAGAAGATAGCAGGAAGGGAAAAATGAAGGGGGTGAAATCGGAGGGGGAGACTCAAACCATGAGAGACTATGGACTCTGAGAAACAAACTAAGGGTTCTAGAGGGGGGGTGGGGGGATGGGTTAGCCTGGTGGTGGGTATTAAAGAGGGCACGTACTGAATGGAGCACTGGGTGTTATACGCAAACAATGAATCATGGAACACTACATCAAAAACTAATGATGTAATGTATGGTGATTAACATAACATAATAAAAAGAAATCTTAATATTCTCATCCAGAAAAACATGACATTGGACTTTGAAAGTCATTTTTATTTTTTTATTTTGGTCATTGAGCCTGGGGATTTTTTCAAAGAGGCATTAAGAAGAACTATTATAATCAATAGGATACAAACTAATGGTAGTAGTCAAACTCATCTAGGGAAAATGGTAGATTTTTTTTATTGTGTTCTAGAGGTTATCTGACTAATCTCAGATTGTGTCTTTCTGTTCTTGCTTTAATATGCTTATTTATAGTGCTTTCCTATCATAAAAGTGATACATTATCATATAAAACTTTGGAAACACAAATAAAAGATAAGAATATTCTATAATTACATAATATATAACTATCTCTACACTTTACATTTTAGTGATTTTTTACATGTGCATGTTTGGTATTTATGAGTATATTCTGGGGATGCTTGCCATAGAATTAACTTTAATTGGGCTGAAGCAATACATTCAAACCCTGCAAGCTGTGAGGTTAGTTTGGTAGATTATTATTTCCCAGCATCATTTGAACATACACATTTATGGGAAGGAGGGGGATTTTATACTGTAATGTTACTTAGCCAGAAGACATACTACTTGTGAATTGCATGAATTCCTTCTCTTATGTGTAATTTTTTTTCAGATGTTTGGGGGCCATACTCTGCTTATAGTTTAATACTTTGTTTTTGCTGCTTAACAGATGACGTTTTCCCCATTAGGCTTTTCTTTTCTTGATCAGCCTATATAGTACAAATTTGCACGACAAAAAATGTTTCTCAGTGGAATTAAATAGCTTGCCTTTGAAAATACAGACAGGTTGTTTTCATCATTTGATGCATTATTGCAATAAAAAATAAGAAAATAATAGTAATTGACCTTTAAACTTAATTTAGTTAGTGATAATGTTTTAGAGGTTGGGAATAAATTTATTTAGCTCATTTAAATTCATCTTATACTTATACACCTTTATTTGAGATAACCATGTGCTTTGATTATAATCCTTTATAATTATTTCTATGTAAATTTGATCAGATAAAAATTATAAGATACGGTTGAAGTATTTTAGTCTTGTAATTCATATTCCATTTCCCCCACATGCTAAAAAAGGAGTAAAAGTTTCTCTCCCAAAAAAATGGTTATAGTTGAAAATATTTAATTTTTAAATATCTAGAATTCATGTTTGATAAGCAAGAAACTACAGCTAATTTGCTATGAATGAATGGCCCTCGTTCTTAGAAAGCAGTATGTCCAGTGGGGAGAAGCTGGAGAGGTTGGTTACTGCGTGTTTTTACTCATGCAGCAATAATTTTTTTGCCATTGGAGATGCAGAGAGGTCAAGAGGTCAGTAGTTACTTTCAATAGTAATACTGTCTTCCTGTCTACTGTAGTTTCTTAAAAATACGTATAAATTGAAAGTTTGTCAGTGCTGCTTTTATGCGATTCCACCCGCGTATATTGATTCACGAATACCCGGATGAAATTTGTTTCAGAAAAAACAGTTGTGTTTTGTCATTTAATCTACCTCTTGTGGGACGAAACCTTCAGTTTTTGTTTGTTTTGTTTTTAAACCAAGAAAAGCCTCCCTAAGCAATTAAAAATTACTACTTAGGGACTATTTTTTTTTTTTAAGATTTTATTTATTTATTTGACAGAGAGAGAGAGACAGTGAGAGAGGGAACACAGGCAGGGGGAGCGGGAGAAGGAGAAGCAGGCTTCCTGCTGAGCAGGGAGCCCGATACGGGGCTTGATCCCAGGACCCTGGGGTCATGACCGGAGCCAAAGGCAGACGCTTAATGACCGAGCCACCCAGGCGCCCCAGGGACTAATTTCTTAACACTACAGAAATATGTAGTGTCTACAGAAATATGTGTCTCTTGGTTTATATGGTAAACTCGATTTAAGAAGAAAAAAATAGAAGAATGGGTTAGACTTTACATTCCTGCGTTTTTTATTGTGGTAAAATATTTTGTGACATAAAATTTACTATTTTAATGATTCTTAAGTGTCCAGGTCAGTAGCATTAAGTACATTCACATTGTGGGGCCATCAACACCATCCATCTCCAGAGCTTTTTCCTCATCCCCTACTGAAGCTCTGTACCCATTAAACAATAGCTCCCTATTACCCCTTCCCCTTTTCCCCTGGTAACCACTATTCTGTTTTCTCTATGAGTTTGCGTATTCCAGGTGCTTCCTATAAGTGGAATCATACAATTTTGTTCTTTTGGGTCTGACTTACTTCACTTAGCATAGTGTAATGTTGTCAGAGTTTGTCAGTGTTGTAGCATGTATCAGAATTTCATTTCTTTTTAAGGTTGAATGCTGTTCCTTTGTATGTGTACACCACCTGTTTATCCATTCATCTGTTGGTGGACGTTTGGATTGTTTCCATCTTTGGGCAGTTGAACATTGGCATACAAGAATCTGTTTGAGCCCCCAAGTTCCATTCTTTTGGGTATATACCTAGGAGTGGAATTGTTGGATCATATGGTCATTCCGTGTTGAACTTTTTGTGGAACCACCAAACTGTTTTCTAGAGTAGCTGCACCAGTTTATGTTCCTGCCAGCACTGCACAGCAGTTCTGATTTCTCCACTTCCTCATCAACACTTGTTAGTGTTGGGGGGGGGTGATTTTTGTTGTTTGTTTATAATAGGCAAACTCGGCGTGAAATGGTATCTCATTGTGCTTTTGATTTGCACTTCCCTAATAGCTAGTGATGTTGAGCATCTTTTCACTTCTTTATATATTTTGGGTATTAATCCCTTGTCGGATACATGATTTGCAGATATTTTCTTCATTCTATGGGTTGTCTTCTTGATCTTTTTTTTTTAAAGATTTTTTATTTATTTATTTGAGAGAGAGAGAGAATGAGAGATAGAAAGCACGAGAGGGAAGAGGGTCAGAGGGAGAAGCAGACTCCCTGCTGAGCAGGGAGCCCGATGTGGGACTCGATCCCGGGACTCCAGGATCATGACCCGAGCTGAAGGCAGTCGCTTAACCAACTGAGCCACCCAGGCGCCCTTGATCTTTTAATAGTGCTGTTTGATGTACAGAAGTTTTTAATTTTGATGAGGTCCTCTCATCATTGCCAGATTCAACATCAAGGACAATTCCCCCCTCTATTTTCTTTTATGAGTTTCATAGTTTTAGTTCTTTTGTTTGGGTCTTTGATCCATTTTGAGTTAATTTTTTGTACATGGGTAAAGTAAGGCTTCATCTTCATTCTTTTGCATGTGGATATCCAGTTTTCCCAGCACCATTTGTTGTAAAGACTGTCCTTTCTCTATTGAGTGGTCTTGGCATCCTTGTTGCAAACTAATTGACCTTATATGCATTAATAATTTTATAATAAGGGTTACCTGAAGGTGTAAGGAAAATAATAATTTGGCTTATTTTGCCACCTAACAGATTATGTAGCTCATTATAGTTTATAATTTTATTTTCACAACTGCATATGAAGTAGAGTCCCAACCCTTATCTGAAACTCTTCAAGCTGGTGTGTTTCAGAATGCAGAAATATTCAGATAATAGAAAGGTGATGTGGTGCATGTATGTTACGTAAAACCCCTGACAGAGAGTGGGGCAACACCCTGTAATCAAACATACTAATCATTCTGTACCACAGTCTATTAATATTAATGCTAAGTGAAAAAACTAAGGACTGTAAATTGCCTTACTTCAAGTGCTGTTTTACTACTTAAATAGGTTTATAGCAGAATTAGGAAAAACTTAGGTTTTCAATCTTTTGGCTTTTGGAATTGCAGATAAGATTGTGCACTTGCATTAGTGTTGTCTGCACTTAAGGATGATGAATAGGAGACTTGGGTGTGGTGACTATCTGGACGAGAAGTGATTAAGCCAGGACTCATACTCAGTACTTTCCACTTTGAAATCGAGTACTTTCTTTTCCTTTTCCATTATGCTGTAGACTGCTTTGAATTATAGGTGACTTTGGTTATATATAATATGAATTAAATGTTAATATATAATTACTTTCCACTTAATTTGCATGTAGATTTTTTTCATTCATGTGTTCCACAAGGGTTTTTTGTTTTTTGTTTTTGAGCTACTACCTGTAAGATGTTGTGGAGATAAAAAATAAAACTTACTCCATACTGGCACAACCCGTTCTTCATCCACTTCATTGGATGGAACCTACACATAGCTCACAAATAGGGTAGGAAACCTAACTAGGTTCATGTGTCTCTATTCTTTCAAATTTGGAAAGCCATGGATGGAGACCAGTACCAATATCTTAGTCATACCCGAGCCGAGTAACGGACTTCTGCTTATTTACCTGTTTGTTGCAAAAGAAATGTTTCTTAGATCTGTAGACCTACATTTATGTTATACATTGGTCTGTATTTGACCCCTGAATCCTTCGGACGCACAAATGTGACTTTACCATGCATTATGGAAGGTTTTTTTCCCCTAGGAGTTGGTCGTTAGATTTTTCTGGAATGTTTCCAGTTTATAATGGTTAAATGCCATTGATAAAAACAACAAAAACAATACAAAACAAAAACAAAAAACAAAACCCAAAAACCCAAAACTAATTTGCCTTTGCAGAGTAATGGAGGTTCAGTTGTGCCTTAAAAAAACAAAGGAACACCACCTGACGGATTTCCTCCGTATGTTTTAGGTGTTCTTATTACTCCATTCTTTTATTTATTTCACAAGTACTTACTGAGCGCTGATTAAGTTATCTGGCACCAGTGTACATAGTTCTTAGTCTTACAGAGCTTATATTTACATGGGATGGCAGACACTTAAAACAGCAGTTACAATAAAGGTGAGATGTTATGGTGTGGGATTACGGAACACAGAGGAAGGGATCTAGCTCAGACTGGGGGTTCAGGCTTCTTGTAAGAAGTGATGCTTTACTCTAAGAGAGGTAGAGTAGGATGAGTAAGAATTAACCAAATGCAGCTGATGTGTTCTGGCCAGAAGCATAAGATGTGTAAAAGCCTAAAGGTTAGGAAGGACTTGGTTCATGTAGGGAGTGGAAGCTCCGTGTGTCTGGAGCAGAGAATGCGAGAGGGATGGGGAGAGATGAGGCTGGAGAAGTAAGTGACGGTCAGGTTGAGAAGAGCCTTGGTGCCTTGTAGTGGAATTAAAGTCTCTGTGGTTTTAAAAAGCAAGGATATACCATTAAATCTGTCTTTTAGAAAATCAGTCTGGTAGACATAGGAAGAATGGGTGGGAGGGGACAAGAGTGCTGGCAGAGAGATCAGAAGGAGCCTGCATTTAACTCGGATAAGAGAGGATGGTCCTGGACTGAGGACAGCATTGTTCTGGAGAGAGAAGTAGACAGAATTAACCAAGTGCTGATTGAAAGACTTGGTTTTTAGAAAGTTACAGAGTCCAGGATTGTGCATCCACAAATCCCCTGGTATTTCTATTTTCTGAATGTACAAACTGTTTCAGCCAGGAAATTTCATAGTAGAAGTGTCACTGTTTTTCTTCAAGCAAACAGCATAAAATGGTATTTCAAACGAGTTAAACTTTAGCTTTGCCACTTCCTTAGTATTTGGTCTTCCCACTATACCCTACCGTAGACATGTTGCACACTCAGTGCCTATTATTTGCATGAGAATAGCCAGTCTGACTCAGATTCCAGTTGACCTCAGCATAAAATTCACCTCTGAAATATGTCACCATGGCCACATTAAGTTACTTAGACTTTTTTTTTTTTTTAAGGTTTTATTTATTTATTTGACAGAGTACACAAGCAGGGGGAGTGGGAGAGGGAGAAGCAGGCTCCCCACCGAGCAGGGAGCCAGATGCGGGGCTCGATCCCAGGGCCCTGGGATCATGACCTGAGCCGAAGGCAGATGCTTAACAACTGAGCCACCCAGGCGCCCCTTACTTAGCCTTTTTGATATTAAACTTCCTTACACATAAAACATGAACAGTAATGGCGAATATCCACGGTCATCAATTAACTGAATATTTACCTTGTGCTAGGCACCACTTCAAAATAACATCATCTGATTTTCCTCAGTGGTAAGGAACCTGAGGCTGGAGGTGTTGAGGGTAAAGGGCTTTTCAAGGACTTGCCCCAAACCATACACCTGGAAAGTGTAGAGTCAGGCCTGGCTTCAAAGCCTGTCTACACTCTCACAGAATCTCTTATTCTCATTATCCAACAATGAATACATTAAGTACTGCTGAATATGACATGATCCACCTTCCCTCATTTTTATGATAGAGCAATTCACATCTCTTGAGCATCCCTTCTCCCGGGCACTGTCTCTGATCCTGTTCAGTTCTCTTCACAGTCCTGTAAGGAGGGTTGTGTGATCTACTAAGGTTCACACAGTAAGGTGGTGGAGGAGAAACTTGAACTGGCTCCGTGACCTTTTTCCCTTAGTAGAGAACACCCTGATGAGAGTGTGGGACTTAGAGGAAGCAGCTGGAGACCCTGGAAGGTCCAGGCAGGAGTGCCAGCTGTAAAAATGTGATGAGATGTGACTGTCAGAATAAAAGGCCACAGATGTACGGTAAAGTATTTTTTGACGTGGCAGTTTTTTGTTTTAGGTGCTGTTACACTACCAGACTGTCAGTGAACCTGCCGTTATTAAACGACTGATTAGTGTCTTAAACAAAAGCACAGGTGAAGTCACAAAGAAGAAGCCAAAGTGAGTAAAATGCACAAATAGTGAACACAAGCAATTTAGCAGATTTTTTACTGATTAATTCATTTTTGTAATATTTCTGTTTGTGATAAGTAAAGTCTATTTTTACTTGGGCCAGAAATTTTTTTTTTTTTTTCAAAAACTAGATTAAAAGAAACACAAAACACATGTTGAAGCTCCTGTCTAGGTATGAATGCTAGATGCAATTTCTGTTGTGGGTGGTGGCAGTCGGGTGTGAACTGTGTATAAAAATGGAAGTATAAATATACATATATATATATCAAGCCCTAGATGCTGATGATGTAAAAATAAAGGGCACTTAAAAAAAATCAGTTCTACATTTTAAAGAATGAATTTGAATTATGCCTAGCCACTAGTTCCAAATTCCAGCTGAGTGATCCTCTTAACTATCTTGTCACCCCCTTAATGAGAATCATTCTTTATGCTAAGAACACTCCAGGAAGAGAGTGAATTACACAGTACTGTGTAGCTTCTAGAAATTATTTTCTTTCTGCTTAGAATCCACTTGGAGCTTTAAGCTGAGGTGATCACCACCATGTTGTTTCCCTCTAATTACCATTAATATCCAGGCCTAAATGTGGACAGTTTCCTTTGGTTGGGACAAGGTTGGGATTTTTCAGAAGGAAGTGCTGCTTCCTGAGAAACTTAAGTTTCTTACCCTACTTCAATAAAGGCTGACCACAGTTTGGCTTGGCTGCTTCAGCTTTGGGGTTTTCCTCACTTCAGCCCTATGGGGAATCCCACCCAAAATCCCCTGTTTTCAGTCTTTGGGTGTTCCTCCTCATTTGCGCCTGTGTAAGAGAGCAAAGGTGGTTAGTGGATTAATAGGTCCGCTGCGAGTAGGAGAGAGGGTCTTCACACTTCTCTGAACCCATGCCTGTTTCTCCATTAGTTAGGAAGAAAGGGCTACTTAATCTCTCTCTGAAAGATAGTTCTTTAATAGTTCTTTTTATTTTATTTTTTAAGATAAGTTTTAAGAACTTAGTGAACTATGGTTGACATACAGTGTTCTATTAATTTCAGGTGTGCAGCATAGTGACTCAACAGTTCTGTGCATTTTTCAGTGTAGTCACTGATAGTTTTTCATTTTTAACCTGAGTCTTTAGCTTCTGGCATGAGTGTGGCATCATGTTCTGAGAACTATAACTAATGGCTAACATTTCTTGAGGACCACTATTTCCTAGACTGCTTTCATATGATTTATATTCTCAGCAACCCTATGAAGCACATACTATTTTCCCCATTTTTCAGGTAAGGAAACTGAGGTGTAGAGAGGTTATATAACATGTTCAGGTTCACAGAGCTAGCAAGGGGCAGTCAGGATTTTAACCTAGTCCGTTGGTTCACATGCATTATATTATTTTTGGCAGGAGCCAGGTTATTGGACCCGCACAAGTGATTTGGAGAATTCTCAATCTAGAATTGACTCATCATATCTAATCTTGAATTTTCCCCTCCCTGCTTCTGCTACAAAGTCCTTTGCTCAGTGATGCTAGGTTTTAATATATTCTCATATTAATTTTCCCTGGCCCCTTATTTGTAGCTTTTGTCTTATTTTGCACCAACACCATTTGGTCTCTGTCCTTCATTTCCACTTCAGGTATACTGTAGACTCAATTGTTTTAATGTGGAATGGAATCGAGCTTTCTAAAAACAAAATTAAGTGCAAATAATGAATATATTAGATGCTCTCATTTCTTAGGAGTGGGACTTTGGACTGAAATTGTCCAAAACCAGTAGTTGGAAATTTTGGAATACTTTTTTAGAAACTTGTTTGGCTTATTCTAATCTGTCTGTCCCTGAAATAATTTTTCAGAAGGAGAGTCTATAATTGCTATCTTCTATCCTTCTAGAGCACATCAAAATTAAATTAGAGAACCTATCAAAGTGCCCCCTTTTGGGTTCTAGTCTTTCAGTAAGTTTAGATGAGTGCATGCACAAGGATTTTTGTTTATGTATCTGTATGAACTGCTTACAGTCAGGCTCATGTCCCCTGTTCCCCCCACCCCCACCTTCATTTCCTACAAACATATTGTGGAAAAATCTTAAGTGATTTTATTCTGAACCCCTGTTAGAGAATCACTATTCCTGTGTGTGAGAGAGAGGAGGGAGGGAAAGAGAAATTTAGAGTAGTCTTTTGGCACTAGGAGATTGTCCTAGATAACTTCTAACACATAATCCACCAGTTAGAATTTTACATTGTAGCCCTCTTTTAAAATGAAAATTCTTTACTTTCCTTATTAATTGAACCTCTCAACTGCATGAGGAAGAAAGGGGAGGCTTTGGTGGAGGGTCCTTGAGCATTTTAGGTTATAAGGTCCTTCAAGAGTTGTATTTGGAAGACTGGTTTAAAAAATACATATATACATACATATATATAAAATGAACCAGTTAATATTTCTTCTATCTAGAATCATTCCTCTCATTTCTTTCAGCTAACCCAGAAAAATACAAAGGCATATATTTTCATTTTAAAAAAACTTTTTTTTTTCTTTTGAAGTTTTTGAAGGTTGATTTGTTGATCGAATGTGAAGTATTTACTTTTCAGTCTGTTACTGCGTTTATTCACCTGCATGGGCTATCCCTGTTCCCCACCCACCTTTTGTTTTGCTAGGCTGTTGACTAAAGGCCAGAGTGCCTTGGTGGAGCTGCAGACACAGCGCCCAGTGGCTCTGGAGCTGTACAGAGACTTTAAAGAGCTGGGGAGGTTCATGCTGCGCTACAGCGGCTCCACGATCGCGGGGGGCGTGGTCACGGAGGTACTGTGAAGAGCGTTTGCTTGTGTGTCCACGTGTCTTGTCTTTACTGCTTTGTAAGAATAATTCCTGAGGGCTTATGCCTTAAGGGGAACACAGTTACAGTATTCGAACAAGATTTTAAAATTTATATTAACATTTCTTTTAAATGATGGCAAGAAAATATTTGGTTTTAGAACTTTTCATAGTGAGACTTCTGAACTGTCCTCACCACGAAAAATGTTTCTCAGAATTAAAGTAAGTTCGTTGAAAAATAGGTTTGTAAGTAAGCAATCCTTACATTATGCGAACATAGTCTTTAAGAGTCAAAGGAATTGGGGGAGGTGATTCCATTTACTAGAAGAGCCCACATTACTTTTTTTTTTTTAAATAACTGGTTCTCCCTGCATTTGAAATGATCCACTCAGAAAGTTCAACTAATGTTTCTGAAAAGGACCTGTTGTATAATGTAAGGTGCAGTTGAGTTTTGGCGAAAATAGCCAGAGGCAAACCAGCAAACTTCAGTAATTTAAATGTTCTTCCACATAATCACTATTAATATAAATCTTAGAAATATTGTATTTTTAATGAATACTTCATATGATTGTTTTATGCATACGAATTATTCAGTTCATTTAATGGGATGTCTACTTTGAACATAGAGCTTTATGTTGCATCAAAATTCAGTTATGCATGCATCCTGCCAAAAGCTCTGGTGCTCAGCTACCTACTGATTCCTAGCAGCACAAGTACATTTCTCCTTCAGTTCATTCGCCTGTAAAAACAGGGTAATAGAACCTACCTCCCACAGTTGTGAAGTGAAAGGCTCTCACAAAGCACTTGGCACAGTAATTGGCATTCAGTGATTGTTACCTAATGCACTGTCATCAACATCACAATCTGCCAAGGCATTCTTTCTGAAAGAGCATTCTAGAAATAAGATAGTTTCTTGTGGAAAATAATGGAGAGATTGTAGTAAATCTCAGAAATAGCATGACTGGGGAAGGGGAAAAGTAGCAGGAAAAAAAAGTTTCATCTTGACATAATGATTATATCGCTGCCATTTTCCTTTTGTTTTTTTTAAAATGGGACATTAAATTATAGCACCTTTTCTTTTTTTTCTTTTACAGATAAAAGAATGATGAGCCAGAATTTCTACCATGTTTCCAAACGCAATGAAATAGCTAACCTCTTGTTTTTAAAGAATCCAGTTGTTCAGTTAAAGGAACAATGTGCAATTGGTTATTTTTTTAAATGAGAGAGAAACTTAAAATGATATAATCAGCTGCAAAGAAGTATTAATCATCAGCCCTGCAAAAATTCAAGTTGCCAAATGGCAAAGAAAGGCTAATATTACACTTTCACTTAAAAAACCGGCTTTCCCTTTGAAATGTTAGTGAATGGATTGACTTTGCTGAGGTTTATGGAAACTATCAGAAATATGTATTAGAAGACATTCAGTCATCATGAAATAAACTCTACTTCCAGCCAAACCACAAAATGTTTACAGTGTTCAACTCTACTGCACACGTTTTAAGGAAAAGTAACTAAATTGGGTTGTTGAGGCAGTTAATATTCAACCTGAGCAATTTTTTTTTTTTAGTTAACTAAGAAAAGATTTCCTGAAGGTAATAGGAAAGGTATTTCGTGTTGAGCATAAGAATATTCTTCCTCCAGCAAATGAACTTTTGAAAGCTTAATTTGGAATTAGTGGAAACTGTCCCTTTGGTAACCAAGATATTATTTAAGGTGTAAAGCCAGCTAATAAAATGCCTTAGTTTGAGCATAATAGCGGCCTGTGTTTTGTTTCTTAGATTCTGTTTATGAGGTTCTCTACCACCATTGCTAAGAATGACTTGGGGATTTTATGGGATCTGTTTCACCTAAGTTTCTCGGCTCTTTCACATGAATTCTTGTTTTGTTTTGTTTTTCCCCTAGTAGCAGATCAAATTTCACCTCCTCCATTTCTTTTTTTTTTTTTTTTAAGATTTTTTATTTATTTATTCGACAGAGAGAGAGACAGCGAGAACAGGAACACAAGCAGGGGGAGTGGGAGAGGGAGAAGCAGACTTCCCGCGGAGCAGGGAGCCCGATGCGGGGCTTGATCCTAGGACCCTGGCATCATGTCCTAAGCCGAGGGCAAACGCTTAACGACTGAGCCATCCAGGCGCCCCCATCTCCTCCATTTCTAATCATAATTTTATTTCTCTTATTCTCTTATTTATTTATTTAGAGGAGGGGAAGGGCAGAGGGAGAGGGAATCTTAAGCGGACTCCATGGCCAGCATGGAGCCCAGCACAGGGCTCAATCTCATCAGCCTGAGATGATAACCTGAGTTGAAGTCAAGAGTCGGACGTTTAACCGACTGAGCCACTCAGGCACTCCTCCTGTTACATATGGAATGACTTCATCTTGCATACCTTATAGACTGCAAGTCCCCTGTGAGTAAAAGTCATGTTTTTCTTTGAAGTTTCAACAGCAAACTCCAAGGTATACTTAGTTAACAGGTATTTGTTGAGCTGCCTCCTGAGTACAAGTTGCTTTAGAGTAGAATTCGTGCTCAGCTGAGCCTGGGACTCTGATCTGATAGACTGTATGATAAGCTTTTTTTGTTGGGGAGTGGTGTGATTTGTATGTTGATGACTTACCATATACAACAGCATTTCTTTTATTATTCTGTGGAACAATATACATCCATATGCTAAAACACACAGAGCGTAAATGTGCTGCTTGATGAATGATCACAAAATGAACACACCCATATAACACATTTCTTTACTGAAAAGTATTTGAGTAGTTGTTACTTAAGAGTAAACTTGCTAAGGTAAGAAAGTGTTATATTTATGTATTATGTTAATCAGGAATTTAACTGGTAAGTCTGACAAAACTTAAAGTAACTTAAGCAAAAAAAAGACTAGCAGTAGACTTGCTTTGACTCTGCCTAGATTGAGCAGCTCACAGTGTGAGCAAAGACTCATCCATACTTTGCCTTCCCCGGTGTTGGTTTTGCCCCTCAGACTCCATACAGAACCCCCTGCAGTTCCACACCTAGATCTTCAGAGCCTTCATCAAGGGTCAAGGGCAGGTTTAAAGAACATGTGTTTTCCAGAAGTTTTAGAAACATCTTACCATTGACTATAATTGAGTTTAATTTCTTTGCTTGGGGCATCCTTGTATTGAGTGTGAAGTGAATCACCCCTAGCACATAGCTGAGATTGCTGGGAAGGAAATTCAGGGTGCTTTTAGGAAGGGGAAATGGATTGAGACCTGGTAGGGCTGGGGGCAAGAACAAGAAACCTCCACCGTGTATACAAGGTCATGGTAGAATTAACTTTAAATAAGAATAGGGGCGCTCCGGTGGCTCAGTCGTTAACAGCTCAGGTCATGATCCCAGGGTCCTGGGATCGAGCCCCACATCCGGCTCCCTGCTCCGCGGGAAGCCTGCTTCTCCCTCTCCCACTCCCCCTGCTTGTGTTCCCTCTCTTGCTGTCTCTCTCTCTCTCTGTCAAATAAATAAATAAAATCTTAAAAAAAAAAGAATATAGCATAAAATAAATGGTAGTAGCAGTAGTAGAAATGAGTTTATTTCTTCCTTAAATTGTGATGAAGTGCAGTCTTTTTATTTACATTATGTTTACAACTGGTTGTTGCTGAAGGGGGTGGTGACATTAAGGGGACCACCTGTGAGACAGGTGTGCTGGCAGTGGGAAAGATTGGGGCTAAGGGACAAGACATACAGCAAGCATGCCCAAGGTTGGCTTTGGTGGAAGTCCTCCCCTTGAATCTTCCACCCATACTAATAATAGTACCTCCATTTGGGGTTACTTTGCTGCCCATACTTATGTGTTTCTTCTTCCTATGTGTGGTTTTACTGTTTGTTCACACGAGTGGCTCTGTTCTCTGATTTCAAGTCTTTGTAAGTCTCTACTGCTCAGTTGCCTCTAGAGTAACGGCTTAGAAAACATAGATCCATGTTTTTTCTTGTTAGTGTTTTTTCCACATGTTCATTATTTATGACAGTATTTGGGCCCCTCTGTGATCTTTTTATTTTATAGTGTAACAAGATTTTTCAAAAAAAATACTAGTAGCTTTTAAAAAATGATGTTAAAATACAAAATTATTTGAATGTCCCTAGCACATTTCCTGATCTATAGGAGTTCATCAAGATTATACAGCTGAAACACACACACACACACACCCCTTCCAGAAGAAGACCCAATAAAAATTAACTGGGTCGTCACTTTCTAGTTTTCCTCTAAAATATCCACAGAGATATATTAATGGAAAAACATTTCTTCCTTCCTCAATATGAGCTTGCCATGTTCTTAGGCACAGAAGGGAGCTTCATTGGGCTGACAGCCCAGTCCGGGATGGGGGTGGGTTCTCAGTACCATAAACTACGAAGGACAATTAACGATATGAAAGCATCCAGCAAGAATGTGCCCTAAGGACAACGCAGAAGAGTCTAGATGGGGAGGGAGAGCCATTAATGCTGAAGTGAAATTTTACTTCTATAAAAAATTCGCTTGAGTCAAAGTAATTCAGCCTGTAAATCACAGTCTCCCTCCTGCCCATTTAGAAATTAGTGGGGGAAGAGGGGAGGCAGGTTTTGCTTTGGCAAAATCATCCAAGAGGGCAGCTTTTAAAGGCCTCCAAACTAGCAACATTTAAAATCCCACCGAGAGTGAGAACCATTCTTAAGAAGCCACCCGCCTCCAGGAAGAAGAGGCACACGAATGAGAAGCTTCGCAGTAGGACCAGAGCTGACACAAGCCAGCAGCGCCCCGCTGACATGAGGGATGGGTCCAAGTGGCAGGGTGAGCCCAACGGTAACCCTTGTTTGAGCTGTTGAAAGCCCTTCTGTATCAGAGGTCTTAGAAGAAGTAGAATGGCTGAATAATTTACAGTCTGGTTCTTTGAAAATGCAAACGCTATTTAAGATTTTAGACAACACTGAGGATGAGAAGAGGCATATAACTGCATGATAAGGATTAATTGGAATAGGAGGTGAAGCGTGAGGCTCAGCTCTTGTGTACCAGTTCTTCCTCGCTTTCCCAGGGAGCCCCTGGGCTCTGCTCGCAGTCACAGAGGATGGGTTACTGTGTGCTTTCAGAGGACCCCGTTCCTCTCCCTGGACCACTTTCAGGCCTGCAATTTCACACTTATTTGTACAATTCACTATTTTCTCCTACTGAAATGTAGGCTCCATGAGGAAAGAGACCTTTTGTGTTTATTATTTCATTATCGGTATTAGTCCCTAGCACATACGATTGTTCAATGAGTGAAAAAATTAATGCTGGTGGTACCGATATGAATGATTTTAATTTCCTGATGCCTGCATTGTCTGAAAATTACAAGTTTTTATTTCTATTCTAATGCTGTGTGTGCAGGGGCTGTTTATATAGTGAAGGAAAAAGAAAGGGAAGCAAACTTTAGCACTGCTTCTGTCTCTCCTCATGTCTGTGAAACTACAGCCCCACTTTGCAGTCTTTCCTGAGCTGGGGCAAGCCTTGTGAGCCTCTGGATTCAGATGTGCTTGCATTTCAGAATCGAGGCAAGAAATCAACTGGCTGCCAGGGATTCTAGCAGCACCCATGTGGACTGTGAGATGGCCGAGGGAACTTGATGCATTCTTGCTCGCCGACACCGGGCTTACATAGAATTCTTCTAAAGATGACTATGAAACATGGTAACAGGCCTGTGTGGAAAAATTGGAAATACACGTAGGGTTCCGAGCACGTGGAGGCAAAAACCTTTCTTTCCTGTGCACTGTAGGTAACAGAAGTTTTCTTTAACTGCGCATGGTATCTGTGAGTTGTAGGAGACTGGCTGGGTTGAGAAGAGAATCAGGATAGGTTAGATGAGATGGCACGGGAACCCAAATCATAATAGCAACATCCAAATGCTCACTGAAGCCTGTAAAAATAGATACTAATTGCAGACAGTGAATTGATGATCTGGAAGTTGTCCTTGGACTCCACTCCTAGAGTACAGATAGATGAAGATGATAAACAGACCCCAAGATAGCACATGAAGAGAGTATAACGTTTTTATGCGAAACATTACAAAGGGATTACAATGATATTTTTTCTGTTAAAGCTTTTACATTCTAAGATTAAAACAAATCTTGGGAACAAAACAAAGTTCCCAAAAAAGTCATCTTCAAAGAAACAAAAAGTGAACCCCAATCTTTTCTGCAGCACTAAATTTTATTTTCTTTATTATTTATAGATTTTATTTACTCATTTATCCGGGGCGGGGGGAGCGGCAGGCAGAGGGAGAAGCAGACTTCTCGCTGAGCAGGGAGCCCGATGCGGGACTCGATCCCAGGACCCTGGGATCATGACCTGAGCTGAAGGCAGACGCTCACTGACTGAGCCACCCAGGCTTCCCTGCAGCCCTGAATTTTAAAAGACACAGGGACGCAGGAGCTAAATATATAAAACTTTAAGTAAGAGGGATTGCAACCCATGAATTCATTATTCAGCTGTGTGTTGTTCACAGGTGAGGGTAAGATGTCCTTGTGGGAGAAGGGTAAGGAAGTGGGGAGGCAGGATGTAAAATGCTCAGATCATGGAAGTAGTTCAAAACTTTAAGATTAGGGAAGTCACGGTAGAATATTCTGCAGCAAGCATATGTCGATGCCCATCATTTGTGGATGTCATCAAAGACCACCAGGGCACATATTTCTATTGCTGCTTGCTGCAGCAAGAGAGACCACACACCACAGAGGACTAGGTGCTCAGTAAGATGGTGTAAGGAGAGCTTGTTAAACGATTTGACATGTGGAG